ACCAAAGGGAAGTCTCCTAAGTTGTCTCTCCATGGCAAGGCCCATATGACATAGTGGATCATCTCTCAGACGTGACTTTCCGGTTAAAATGTAGTCAGCGAGGTAAGGCAAATATGGTGCATGCCAACAGGCTTTAGCATTATCATGGGCCAGGACATTTCAGTTGGAATGAAGTGAACAACAAAACAAATGATGCTGCTGAAGACGTGTCACCTGAAAAAGCCATTGTCAAAGAAGAAACTCTACCTGGTTTTGAGAAGGGAAACAGTAAAGCCCTTAATGAAGTTAGTACCACTGATTTGACTGTTACCGATAATGGGACAGTTCCTGATGGAGCAGATGAACATAGAGCATGTAAGTGATTTGTAGGATTCATCTTCAGCTAAGACAGCTTTATTTTTCTATCAGGGTAGTTTGCCTTTGGAATGAGTTGTCTTCAGATGTGTTAGTTGCAGTTAATTTAAGGAAAAACTTGATACATAATTAGATGATAAGGACTGGTTTGAAGGTTTTATTATAGTTTATTGGATGGACCAACAAGTCCTTTGTTGTCCTTAAATTATGTAAAATTACCATAATATACAACAAAATGTAGTACAAAGATCATACTCATAGTAAAAAAGACTTATGGGTGAAAAGGAACAATGATGCTTTGTGTTCTTAGATAGCTCGTTAGTAGAGCAATAGCACTGCTAACACCCAGTCCATAACCACCAATATAACCATAACACCAGTTACACTATTAATCTTTGATATTGTACAGATATCTTCATGAAATTTCACAGATTATCAGTAATTATTACAAGGCTTTCATACACAAAATACCAGATATTTTAATTAAATATTAAGATTTTTTAATTAAAGTCTTGCTCACGAATTGTTTTTCTTTTAGAGTGTTGACAATCTAACATACAAAGTAATTTTTAGTTTAAGATTAAAAGTACTTTTCTTCATCTAAAAATTGTCAAATTACCCTTTGCACAATCTTTATAACCTCCTAATATTATTTTGTTATTTTTTCTACCTTATCTCTTTCAATATTGATAAACTTGTCTGACATTGTAACTTGCATAAAAAATTAGGAAACAAATCTAAATTTTGTTTTTCATTCTACATTGGCAGCAATTTGTAACAGGAAACCACAAATGTTTACTCTAAATAGCTTAAATCTCATAACATTATATATCTATTTATATTTATTGTTTTATTAACCTATTGACCTTTGAACCATGTATAACTAACAACTGTGTCACAGAAGTTGCAATCACGTAGTGCACATGCAGCACATTACATATCGAACAGCATAAGTGGCAAATGTCTAAGCTTTGCACCAGTGGAGCAGTAGTTTAGTACAATACATTACGTGTATGTGTGCGTGTGTGTGTGTATATATATATATATATATATATATATATTATTATTACTATTTAGAAGTAAATTCTTGAATCTCAGTTACATTTTATAAAACATAGAACATAGACATAAAAAAACGATCTCTTCCATTTATGATTGTTACGAAGCTCATACTCGAATGTTATACTTTACTAAGGCTCGTTGACTTTATCACATGGAAGATGTTAAGCAAAATTTTGTAGGTTATATATAATCATTTAAATAACAAATCTAATAAATAACTGCATCAAT